GTCATGACTATACTACTAGGTCTTGATAGCCTTTGTGTAGAGAGCCAGTATGATGAGGCAGTACAAAAAAAACTCTCCTTTCTGGTACTGACAGTAACTCACCCTGTGGTTCTAAGGCTTCTCTAGCCCAGCATATCTGAAGAACATGACCCATGCCCATCATGGTGCTCAGCACAGGTACTGATGCTCAAGAAACAGCCACTATTTCTAAGCACAGTATGGACCACTCTCGCATATATTCATTTTAGTGATTCACTGTTCACACATATGTCTAACACCTTCCTGTAATTCACTCATTTCCAGCTGTCTACCGTTCTCTGTTTTCACTCGGCCAGATTATATATAAGTCAACTATTAACACAGTAAGCAGAAGAGGGGGAGAGAGGGAGTCCACCTTATCATTAGAGACACTTGTCTTCCCTTTAATTTCCTGACTTCAAGCTGATTTCCTGTGTCAAACTGTCTTTCTATTCCAACTAACTAGGGGTTTTGGAAGGCAGAAAGTGTATCTTGGTCCCATCTTGGGTAGTCTGGACCACCTTCAAGTACCAGTGTATGGACAACTAAGAAGTGAGGGTTTACGCCAAGTGTGGTGATGCAGACAGACCAATAATCCCAGAACGTGTGAGTTGGAGGCAGGAGGATCAAGAGTCCAAAACCAGCCTAGAGTAGACAGGGTTAGAAGCCAGCATGGACTACAAGAGACCATGCCTAAAAAATAAGACGTAAGGCTTTGACCACGTGACTTTGGAGAATTTACTTTGAGAACTTCAATCTGCTCTCTTTATGAGCTAGCTGTAGAAGCTATAGTGTCGAAGCCCACAGTACCTCGCACACAATAAACAAAAGTCGCTGTTAGTCCTATGACGACCAGCACATGAGAGTAACTGGGGTAACTTAAGAGGCGTGGCCAAGCCCACCCAAAGACATGTGAGCCGCACTTGCAGAGAACTCACGCCCGCGACACGCACAGCACTGAGGACGCTCTGTGAGGCGAGCGCTCGGAACCCGGCAAACTGTTGGAGCAGCCGGCGGAGGCGGGGGGAGGCTCCAGGACTACCGCCGGCAGGGAGGCCCCGGCCAATCTCTAACCTTCATCTCCCGCTCAAGGACTATGGCATCCATATCGTCTCCCATCCTGCCGCCTTCAAGGTGACCAAGTAGCTGCCGCTGCCGCCCGCGGCCTTTCCAATGCAGCCCAGGCCGCTAGGGCCCCAACTTCCTCCCCTTAGAGTCAGTGGCGCGCGGGAGATGCGCGTTTCCGGCGCGCATGGATGACGTCAACCACGCCGGTTTGTAGAGTGGTCGCACAGAGTCAGCCCCGGGCTCATCAGAAGTCGCGCGCTAGCCAGTCTACCAGGCCCCATTGGCCAGTTCCGGGGAGGGGGTGTGGCCATGAGGCGCGCGCAGGCGCCCTCCCTCCTCCTAGTGCACTACGCACATGCCCGTTTTGTGTGCGTTTCTTTCATTGGGCGGCGCACGCTTTGTCGTTTCAAGACTCTGGAAAATTCCCCACAGCGCTTGTCTGCCGGGCTGTTAGTAGCTTCCGACTTAGAGAAGTTAGAGACTTGAAAGGTTTTGGAAGCGCGGACAGTGACGCAGATAGTTGGTGGACTGGCGTGTTCCGGTGCTGAACCTCCTTTGCCCAAAGCTGAAAACGGAGAGGAAAAAGGGCAAAAGATTTGTTTTATTTATTGTTTTCAAAGTAGTCGTTTCAGAGCAAAAGCCATATCCACTTCACATCGCAATTTGTGCGTAACTTTTCATTGTCTCCTTTAGCCTTCAAGGTAGTTTCTAGTCACCTGGGGGTTTAGTAACTTAATCGATAGCCAGTGGGTGCGTGCCTGTCACCTCAGCTCTTGGAGGTGGAGGCAAGAGGATCAGGAACTCAAGGCTATACTCGGCTACATGGCAATCTCTAGCTATCCTGTGTTACATGAGACCCTGCTTGAATAAAAACGAATTGTTCAGTTAATGAAATACGGGAGTTCCACACAAAGCAGTTACCAAATTATTCAGTGGCTCTCAGCCAGGAGGTACTGATGTTGAAGACACATTCTCTCATGTGCAGTTTTTCAGCAAGTTGTTTGTGTACTCCAAGCCTCTTCTCATTGTAAAATAATGAAAGTAGAAGTGAAGCTAGGTGTGGTGCATGTCTTCAATCCCAGCACAGGCAGACCTCTGCATTTGAGGCCAGCCTGGTCCACAAAGCAAGTTCCGGCACAGCTAGATGCTGCTACACAGATAAATCCTCTCGAACCCTCCCCGCCCCAAGACCCAGACCCCCCCCCCCAAAAAAAAAAGTAGAAATGGGTTTTAGGCTTATTCTGATGAAGTCAACTGTCTCGCTGATTGGGACCCACTCATTCAACTGGTAATTGTGTCAGCTAGCTCTTCTGAATTTACTGAGCCCAGAGAAGCACAAAGACAATGGTAAGTTGGTCTAGTTTATTTCAATTTTCAGCAGACGATATCCTACCCATACATACACTCGAACACACATAATGTCATTCATCCATATCTACCTCACAAACGTCTTTTTGAGTCACAGGAACAGTGCCATACTTGGCTGTCCCCGTGTGGCTGGTTACACCAGTTAGATTTGGTCTTTTTCAAAAATAATGACAGCTGACATCCCAAGAAAAATAAGCCCATAACTAGAGAGGTTAAGGACCCTGGAGCCAATAGATACAGCTTGAAGTATATGCAAACTCCTCCCACTAAGGGTTATTCTTAAGACTCTTCCCAAGACTCGTTCCCTCCCAATTAGAGAGCCTCTTTCCTGTACCTTGCAGAGGTCACAGGCACACTCCTTTGCTCTCCTTTATGGAGGTGGTGTGTAATCTCATGAGTTGTGGACCCACTGAGCCTGACTGGTACTGCCTTCCTATCACACAGACTTGGAGAATGAAGCAGAAGGAATGGGGAGAGATGCTAATCTTTAGGGGAAAAAAAAAGTCACTCCATGGGGTGAGGGCAGACAGGGTTTTATATTTACAGGGAGGAATGCTGGGGTTTAAACATCAACTAGACTACACTGAAGCAGCTCCTTAGGCTGAAAATCAGCCAGTCATATCGAAAAGATCTCTCCTGAGCTGGACTGGTGAGACCAGAGGATTAACCAGAGCTAGCCATTTCATGCCGTTTGCTTCATTCTCAAGGTGTTGTGGGGACAGCACCCTGGGTACTGGACTGTGGGACACTAAGGAGCCCCTGGAAAACCACACTAGCTTAAGAGTTCCCAGTCTTTCCATTTCAGGTTTAAGCTCTTCTAACACTCTTGCCAAGTTGTGAGCTCGGTGGAATCCCCTACAGGGTACTGACTCCTTGCTGCCACTCCCCCCCCATTTCCTAACATCACACTGCCATTGACTGGGTGTGACTCCCCAGAAGATATAAATTTTGTGTGTCAGTCCATTTCACTGCTGGGTTCAGGACTCAGGGCACATAGTGGGGTGCTTGATAAATATGTTTGATAAATGACTGTCGTGTCCTGAGTGCCTGGAGTAAAAGATTTCAGAACACAGGCAGAGACAAGGCTGGGGCCCCCACTCAAGTAAGATGGGTCAAGTTTGATACTTCACTGCAAGAATTCTTGGAAATGGTCTTTGTCATGGGTCAAGTTTGATACTTCACTGCAAGAATTCTTGGAAATGGTCTTTGAAGATCAGTCAAGAATCTGTGGGGAAGACAAACTGCAAAGGCAGGCTTGGCCCTTATCCAAACCCCACTGCCAACTTGGAGGCTCTCGGGAGGGTGAGGCCTGACTCAAACACTTTAGAAGAGATGACATCTTCCTCAAGTATCAGGCTGGGAGATAGTCCTCTTCACCCTTCCCCAGAGCTCCTGGGCTCCTGTCCATACTCTCCCATCTCTAGGTGAATGCCCTAGACCTTTCATCAAGGTACTTAACTCCTGTAGGTCAGCAAGTGAAATGAGAGGGCTGGCCCAGATGAAATCTGCCAGACGACCTCAGTCTAATCCCAAGACTCCAGGTTTTGAGGGACTTGAAAAGGGAGCTATGAGTTGGACATAGCACCCATCAAGAGAAAGCAGGAGGAGTTAAGGCTAGTAATAGGTACTTGATAGATAACTGCTGAGTGGAGTGGGTGACTGAAGAAAGGACAAGTTGGGTAGGAACATAAATAGCTGAATTTGGGGCATTTTACGACCAGACAGCTTGTCACTTTGAGGTTCATCATGATCACTTGACTGCTCTTCTCTCTGGGCACCCTCAGCATCCTCCCTGCAAGGTGGCTTCCGAAAGCCACTATCTTCACCTCTGCCTCCAAGGCCCTTTCCTGCCCTAGCAAGGGACAGTGGGACTGCACTGTCCCTGAGTTGTCTGTAAAGGTGTGGTCTTTCTGGTTTTTTGAAGGACTCTGCAATGATTGTTCTTTCCTCCCCACCTCGTTACTGAGGATAGGCAGGAACCAAGGGGAATCAGTTGTATCTGTGAGGCACTCATGAATACTAGAAGCACGAAGCTTGCCCTGGAGCTCTGTGCCTGCTTGGGATCTCCTGAGAGTGGGGGGAGGAGAGGGACCCACCAGGGTCAAACCTGCAGCCTGAATTTAGGATAGAAACCTAGAAAGAGGCTGGGCAGTGGTGGCACATGCCTTTAATCCCAGCACTTGGGAGGCAGAGGCAGGTGGATCTCTGTGAGTTCAAGGCTGGCCAGTCTACAGAGTGAGTTCCAGGACAGCCAGGGCTGTTGAAACCTAGAAAGATGAACTGATAGATAAGACCCTCTTCAAACATGGGGACTCAGATTTGCAGCCTCTATGCCCTCTCCAGTTTTTGGTTTGACGTCAGCCCTTCTGTATAGGGAGGGCAGGGCAGCAGAAGCAGAGAGGAGGGGTCCTGAGGCCAGGATTCCCCAGTCTCTTTAAGGCAGGGAACATGTGCTAAGAAAAAACACAGACAACAGATCACAATAAGTTGAGAAAGCTGAGAAAGGAGAAGGGAGGGGTGGCAGCCTGGAAGGTCCAAGTGGGTCCTCAGGGCAGGCTGGCAATGTCTCTCTCTGGAGGCGGGCCAGCCGGCTTTGAGCTGCTCTCATGGGCTTTTCCTTCAAACATCATGACCCTGGTTTAGAGATGAAGAAAAGAAAACAAAACCAATGGGTTAAGACTCCTCCCCTCATACGGAGATCTCCCAGCCTTGATCCTGCAGGGTCCTCAAATTCCCCCAAGGCTATTCTGGGAAGAACCTCATGAAAGACCACCTGGGCAGCTGTGTAGAAGGTGATGCTGGTCCTGTTTCGGGGTACGGAGAGGCAACGGAACTCCTCAACTGCTCAGGCAGTTCAAGGTGGAAGAAGGGACAACCCTCTAGGCCTCTGGCTTCTGGGCCTGTGCCTTCCTTTATCCTAGCTGTCTGGAGAAGACTGGGGTGGGCCAGAGCTCTGCTCAAGAATCCCATTAGCTCTTTAAAAACTCCTCATTGGCTGGTAGGTGGTGGCAGCAGTGGTGCATGCCTTTAATCCCAGGACGTGTGAGGCAGAGACAAATGGATCTCTGTGAGTTCCAGGCCAGTCTGACCTCCACAGAGTTCCAGGACAGCTAGAGCTACATAATGGAGAGGCCCTATCTCGAAGGAAGGAAGGGAGGGAGGGAAGACAGAAGGAAGGAAGAGAGGGAGGGAGGGAGGGAGGAAGGCTGGCTGGCCTACCCTGTCTCAATAACACAAAACTAAATCCTTCCCCACTGTGCTACAAGTCCAGTCCACTCTGTGAAGGAGACAATGTAGGTTTGATGAGGGATGTTTCTCTTATTGGTTGATGAATAAAACACTGATTGGCCAGTAGTGAGACAGGAAGTGTAGGCAGGGCTATGTGATGAGAATTCTGGGGAAAGGAGGAGAGAGAAAGGTGGAGAGATGCCATGCTGCTGAAAGAGTAACATGATGGATTATGGGTAAGCCACAGCCACAGCAATACATAGATTAATAGAAATGGGTTAATAATTAAGACAGAGCTAACCAATAAGAAGCCTAAGCCATTGGCCAAACAGTTAATAAATTAATATAAGTCTTTGTGTTTATTTGGGGCTAATCAGCTGCAGGACTCTCCATCTTCATAGGTTCAAAAATGTAACTTTTGGGGGAGACTGCATTTTAGTGCTGGCCTACTGCTTCAAGCTGAGTGACTCAAGACAAAGTGGGCTCGGGAGCCAATCGCTCGACCTCCTTGGGCCTCAAATGAGCACCTTGAATGAGTGTGTGCATGTGTGTAAAAGCCAGAAAACAGTCTGGGGAATCACTCCTCAAATGCCTCTTCCTCCTTTTTTTTTGTTTGTTTTGTTTTGTTTGAGACAGGGTCTCTTGGTCTGGGACTTGCCAAATAGGCTGCCTGGAGAGCAAACCCCAGAGTTCTGCTTGTCTCTGACTTTTTTTTTTTTTTTTTAAATAGCATTTTGTTACACTAGATTTCTTCTCTCTCTCTCTCTCCTCTCTCGGTATCCTGTCTGCATGTATGCCTGAAGGCCAGAAGAGGGCAACAGATCTCATTACAGATGGTTGTGAGACACCATGCAGTTGCTGGGAATTGAACTCAGGACCTCAAGAAGATCAGCCAGTGCTCTTAACCTCTGAGCCATCTCTCCAGCCCCTGTCTCTGCCTTCTAAGCGCTGGGATACAGGAACGTGCCACCATACCAATTTGGTTCTGGAACCAAATTCAGGCCTTGCCATTTCCTGACTTAGCTGTCTCTCTAGCAACAAGCTCTTTCATTAATGGAGGAACATATAGTCCTAAAGATGCATCACATGGATGTCTGCCATTGGCTGGACACTAGACAGAAATCACCATGCCACCTTTGTAGTCCTCAGGATGACACTTCATGTGCTATCATCTCCACTTTCAACAGAAGACACAGAATCAGCCAGGAGTGGTGGTGGCTCCTGAGAGGTAGATGCAGGATTCCAAAGCTGAGGCCAGCCTGAGCTACACAGTAAAACACCACACACACCCAAACCCACACCCACACA